TCCATTGTTTTAGCGGGCAGCCCATTGTTTTAGCGGGCAGCCCATTGTTTTAGCGGGCAGTCCATTGTTTTAGCGGGCAGCCCATTGTTGAGCGGAGCAGTCCATTGTTTTAGCGGGCAGCCCATTGTTGAGCGGAGCAGTCCATTGTTTAGCGGGCAGCCCATTGTTTAGCGGAGCAGTCCATTGTTTAGCGGGCAGCCCATTGTTGAGCGGAGCAGTCCATTGTTGAGCGGAGCAGTCCATTGTTTAGCGGGCAGCCCATTGTTGAGCGGAGCAGTCCATTGTTTAGCGGGCAGCCCATTGTTGAGCGGAGCAGTCCATTGTTGAGCGGAGCAGTCCATTGTTTAGCGGGCAGCCCATTGTTTAGCGGGCAGCCCATTGTTGAGCGGAGCAAGTCCATTGTTTAGCGGGCAGCCCATTGTTGAGCGGAGCAAGTCCATTGTTTAGCGGGCAGCCCATTGTTGAGCGGAGCAAGTCCATTGTTTAGCAGGCAGCCCATTGTTGAGCGGAGCAGTCCATTGTTTAGCGGGCAGCCCATTGTTGAGCGGAGCAGTCCATTGTTTTAGCGGGCAAGCCCATTGTTGAGCGGAGCAGTCCATTGTTTAGCGGGCAGCCCATTGTTGAGCGGAGCAGTCCATTGTTGAGCGGAGCAGTCCATTGTTTAGCGGGCAGCCCATTGTTGAGCGGAGCAGTCCATTGTTTAGCGGGCAGCCCATTGTTGAGCGGAGCAGTTCATTGTTGAGCGGAGCAGTCCATTGTTTAGCGGGCAGCCCATTGTTTAGCGGGCAGCCCATTGTTGAGCGGAGCAGTCCATTGTTTTAGCGGGCAGCCCATTGTTTTAGCGGGCAGTCCATTGTTTTAGCGGGCAGCCCATTGTTGAGCGGAGCAAGTCCATTGTTTAGCGGGCAGCCCATTGTTTAGCGGGCAGCCCATTGTTGAGCGGAGCAGTCCATTGTTTTAGCGGGCAGCCCATTGTTTTAGCGGGCAGCCCATTGTTTTAGCGGGCAGTCCATTGTTTTAGCGGGCAGCCCATTGTTGAGCGGAGCAAGTCCATTGTTTAGCGGGCAGCCCATTGTTGAGCGGAGCAAGTCCATTGTTGAGCGGAGCAGTCCATTGTTTTAGCGGGCAGCCCATTGTTTTAGCGGGCAGCTCATTGTTTTAGCGGGCAGTCCATTGTTTTAGCGGGCAGCCCATAGTTGAGCGGAGCAAGTCCATTGTTTAGCGGGCAGCCACAGCAAACACATTGGAAGCACGTGGCATTAATAGCCAAACATCCGAACGCGAACAATCTCCCCACTTACGATTCGTGAGACTCGGCGAGGCATGTGTATGGCGTGCAACAACAACAACAACAAAAATCTGAATATTTATATTGGAGGAATCATATGATCTGTAAAGCTCTTGCCACACCCGCCCACCTCCGGAGATGTCCAAGTAGGTGCGGGTTCAGAACGTGACAGCAACACAAAACGAAGCTGATGACGAGCTGGTGACGAGCTCTTTGAACGCATTTCAAGTTGAGTGTCGTTGAGTCATTACAGCCGGATGGTGACATAGCCCCCATTTGAGACGCAATGTGGGGGGGTGGGGGTGAGCGTTAAAGGTAGTGTAGTGTATAGTGTAGTGTATAGTAGTGTAGTGTATAGTGTACTGTATAGTAGTGTAGTGTATAGTGTAGTGTATAGTAGTGTAGTGTATAGTGTAGTGTATAGTGTAGTGTATAGTGTACTGTATAGTAGTGTAGTGTGTAGTGTAGTGTATAGTAGTGTAGTGTATAGTAGTATAGTGTTAAGTGTAGTTTACAATAGGGTAGTGTATAGTAGTGTAGTGTATAGTAGTGTATAGTGTCGTGTATAGCAGTGTAGTGTATAGTAGTGTAGTGTATAGTAGTGTATAGTGTAGTGTATAGTAGTGTATAGTGCAGTGTTTCGTAGTGTAGATAGTAGTGTAGTGTATAGTAGTGTATAGTAGTGTAGTGTATAGTAGTGTATAGTAGTGTAGTGTATAGTGTAGTGTATAGTAGTGTATAGTGCAGTGTTTCGTAGTGTAGATAGTAGTGTAGTGTATAGTAGTGTATAGTAGTGTAGTGTATAGTGTAGTGATAAGTAGTGGTGTATAGTGTAGTGTATAGTAGTAGTGTATAGTAGCACAGCTGTCAACCCATAAGGTTTACCCATAATCTTGTACAGGGACATTGAGTTTTCAGGTCCATACGGCGTACAGCCGTTTCAATACGGACAACAACATTGTTTTTAAATCCTTTATATGAAGTTCGCTTGCTTGCTTGCGTGATTGCGTGCTTGCTTGCTTGCTTACGACCGTGCAAATCTTTCGGTCGTTTTTTACACCCACTTCCCGTGATCCAATCGAGCTGACATTTTGCACACAGACTCGTTGTGCGAGACAATTAATGTTCGTGAAAATTTTTTTCCAAAATTTTACACTGTTTAGGGAAAACAAATTAAATATTTAATTACCAATTGCTTAATACTGGCAGACAATCATCTGACCCATAGGTGGCAGCCATCTCAAGCCAGAGGACGAGAGGACTCTAGCCGCCACGCATATAAAGGATTTATAGTGGAAAAGTTTGTTTTTACGGGTTATACTTGTGTCTATATGTGTTTCTCCCTTGTGATGGGAACGTTGAGATGTATAAGGGCAACGGGGTGACGAATATGGTCTGAGTTGATCTGTAATAAGGTATGGCACTGATAAGGGGTTGACAGGTTTGCGTTACCCTCTTGTGCAATCGGTGAGCTGCGTGATACAGGGGTTGGGGGACAAATACGTGATTTCATTTATGTTAACGCTGGCATTAAAATATTTTAAAAATATATATATATTCAAAGGTAATAGTTTATCTTCTTGATTCTTTCGGTAAAGTCACGTAGAAGGGAAATAAATAAAAAAATGACGCTGTCTTTCTGACAGACCTGTTCTTCACCTGAGGACGGCTGCTTGCGTTGTGGCCGAAACGTCGTGAGAATTGTATTTAATTATGTTTTATTATTATTATTTTATTATTTCCCTTCTACGTGACTTTACCGAAATGACCAAGAAGATGAATCCCTGCAGTCACGAAAGCTTTAAATCTAAATTTGATAGTTTATCTGCCGTCATTATTATCGCCTATTTCTTCTTCCTCTTCAAATAAATTTGAACAAAATGGAAATTAAATTGACGAGAATAATTCTGTTTGACGGGAAGCTAAATAAAAAAAGATATATTCTTAAAACAAAAAAAGTCTCACGTTATTTTCAAAATAGAATACTGTGCATGCATGCGTTAACGTTAATGGCAGTCTGTTTAATAATTTGTTAAGATAAATAAAACATTGTGTCCTGAACGTTGAGCCAGTCTGTATATTAATACAATGATACATACGACAAAATTGTTACGTTTAATCTATCCAGACTAAAATTCACAAGTGTGTAATTTGAAAAAAAAAGCCAATGGCGTTAAGAAGGCGAATTAAACATTTTCTACATGCATAGAAATATATCTTTTGTATGTTTACAAAACGTCGTGAGAATCATTTTATTATGTTTTATTTTTATTATTTTATTACTTCCCTTCTACGTGACTTTACCGAAAGAACCAAGAAGATGAATCCCTGCAGTCACGAAAGCTTTAAATCGAAAATTAAGTGAAACGTTATTTCATTTGTGAATGCTGAATTTTATTTCTTGTTAGCCTTGTAAAAATATATTTTCTTTTTCGTTAGCCTTGTAAAAAATTCCTTTATTTTTTTTCTTTAACTTTCTTTTCTTTTTAAAAATATTACTGGGGGACTCACAGTTACCTGTAGCCCAGAGGGCTAACAAAATCTTAATCTGGCCATGCCTCCAATGTAACACGTGGGGGGCTTTCGCGACCGATATCAACAAGAGGGTTTTTTTGTGTGGGAGGTTAAATCGCGTAAATATAAACTTCAGTAAAACTTACTAATTGTCTGTGTCGGGTGGCGGCGGGTTTAAGGACACACGTTTATATATTTAGGCGATCTAACCCACAAACAACCGGTGGTTGTGAAGTACTGTAACAACATCACTAACAACATCACTAACAACATCACTAACAACATCACTAACAACATCACTAACAACATCACTAACAACATCACTAACAACAACACCGGCGGTGAGTGCGAGCCCTGGTTGCTATGGGGCCGTCGCTAAGGGCGCCTACCCTCCCCCTCCCCTCACCCCCCCCCCTTTTCCCCCCCACCCACCCCTTGAGTGACGTCACCGCACCGACAAAACCCGGACAGTTATTGCGAAAGAAGGAAGAGCGCGTGTGACGTCAGGGGGTGGGCGTCGCTACGTTTCGAACGCGATGACGTCACCACCGCCCCACCCAAACAAAAAAATAGGGGGACGAGGCGGATCTGATTACGTGGAGACGTCACCCGGCCCGCTTGGATACAAAGGATGACGTCATCGCCGTTACGGTTGAACGCGATGAGGTCACCACGGCCCCACCCAAACCTCGGATACAAAAAAAACGACGGGATGGGCGGATCCGATCACGCGATGACGTCACGCGCCCCGCTCGCATACAAAACGGCGCGGGGGAGGGCAGCGTCAATCGTACGTGATTACGTCATCACCGCCCCACCCCCAACCCCGTTATCAAATAATAAAAAATGGAAGGGGGGGGGGGCGTAGGGCGGATCCGATGAAGCGATGACGTGATGACGTCACGCAGGGGGGGGGGAAGCCAGCAAAGATCGTGCGTGATGACGTCACGCGTAAATATTTGCCTCAGCCCAGAGGAGGCAAGTGGAGGGGGGGGGGGCGTAGGGCGGATCCGATGAACCGATGACGTGATGACGTCACGCAGGGGGGGGGGAGACAGCAAAGCTCGTGCGTGATGACGTCACGCGTAAAAATTTGCCTCAGCCCAGAGGAGGCAAGTGGAGGGGGGGGCGAAGCAAGCAGGGCGCTGGCTGAGTCGACGACGCCGTCGTCACCGTCGTCGTCGTCCCCCTCCTCCTCCTCCCCCCGTCACCTCCACCTCTCTCTCCCCACCACCTCCACCTCCCTCTCTCCACACCACCGGCGGCTCTGCCTGCCGGCTCGCTATAAAGGGGCCCGCCCGCATGCCCCACACTTTCCGCTTGCTGCTCGCCGCCGGGCCGACGTGGTTCTTTGCGGCGGTAGCAGCCGAGGCGAGAACGCACCGAGGGTAGCGGTAGTAGTGGTGGTGGTGGTGTTGCTGCTGGTGGTGGTGGTGGTGCTGCTGGTGGTGGTTTGGTGGTGCTGGTGCTGGTGTTGCTGCTGGTGGTGGTGGTGCTGGTGGTGGTGCTGCTGGTGGTGGTGGTGGTGCTGGTGCTGGTGTTGCTGGTGGTGGTGCTGCTGGTGGTGGTTTGGTGGTGCTGCTGGTGGTGGTGCTGGTTGGGTTGGTGGTGGTGCTGGTGGGTTGCTGCTGGTGGTGGTGGGCTGCTGCTGGTGGTGGTGCTACTGCTGCTGGTGGTGGTAGTTCAAAGTTGCCAGCTTTGACGTTCCCAGAGGCCCCCGTCTGGCCATGCCAGCCCCGGTCCAGCGGCCCGCAGTGACCCCTCAAGTGGCGGCGACGACGACGATGATGATGGTGACGATGATGATGGTGACGATGATGACGATGATGAAAGAAGAAGCTCTCTGCTAGCCCGCTCAGCACCTCCGTTGGGGGAGGTGGTGGTGGTGGAGGAAGGGGGCTTTACCCTCCTAATTAGCTGAAGCGTTAATTGTGAGCTTGGTCAGAGAGGTGGGGGGGGAGGTCGTTAATTGATTGGTGACGAGGAAGCGGCCGAGATGCGAACGCTGCGGCTGAGGAACCGTTCCATGGTGGCGCTGCTTTTCCTCTTCTCGCTGTCGTCTTCCTTCCTCTACTTCATCTACGTCTCGCCGGGCCTCGGTGAGTTGCGGCGAAACACACACACATGTCGGGCACACACACACACACATGTCGGGCACACACACACACATGTCGGGCACACACACACATACACGTGAGCTACACAGCAGGTACACGTCAGGCATTCATCGGCCACACACATCAAGTACACGCCAGCCGTACAGACACACACATCAGCCACACACAGATCAGGTACACAGGTGATGTTTCAGCCATTCATCAGACACACACATCAGGTGTACAACAGCCGTACAGACACACATCAGACACGTCAGCCGTACAGACACACAGCAGGTACACGTCAGGCATCCATCAGCCACACACACATCAGGTATACAGGTGATGTTTCAGCCATTCATCGACAACATACATCAGGTATACACCAGTCGTACAGACACACATCAGGTACACGTCAGGCATGCATAAGCCACACCCAGATCAGGTATACACCAGCCGTAGAGACACACATCAGGTACACGTCAGGCATTCATCAGCCACACACAGATCAGGTACACAGGTGATGTTTCAGCCATTCATCAGACACACACATCAGGTATACGTCAGCCGTACAGACACACAGCAGGTACACGTCAGGCATTCATAAGCCACACACAGATCAGGTACACAGGTGATGTTTCAGCCATTCATCAGACACACACATCAGGTATACGTCAGCCGTACAGACACACAGCAGGTACACGTCAGGCATTCATAAGCCACACACAGATCAGGTACACATGTGATGTTTCAGCCATTCATCAGACACACACATCAGGTATACACCAGCCGTACAGACACACACAGCAGGTACACGTCAGGCATTCATCAGCCACACACAGATCAGGTATACAGGTGATGTTTCAGCCATTCATCAGACACACACATCAGGTATACGTCAGCCGTACAGACACACAGCAGGTACACGTCAGGCATTCATCAGCCACACACAGATCAGGTATACAGGTGATGTTTCAGCCATTCATCAGACACACACATCAGACACACCAGCCGTACAGACACACAGCAGGTACACGTCAGGCATGCATACGCCACACACAGATCAAGTACACAGGTGATGTTTCAGTCATTCATCAGACACACACATCAGACACACCAGTCGTACAGACACACACAGCAGGTACACGTCAGGCATTCATCGGCCACACACATCAAGTACACGCCAGCCGTACAGACACACACAGCAGGTACACATCATCCACAGGACTACGTGAACTGCACCCATCAAGCGACACGACCACATGACCAGGAACACCATCACGTTGACTGCGGTCTTCATCACAGCCACACCCAGACTCGCACACATGGACACATCTACACAAACATGGGGATAACCACACACGGACACGGGGATAATCACACAAACACACGGACATGGGGATAACCACACGGACACGGGGATAACCACACACACACAGACACGGGATAATCACACAGACACACAGACACTGGATAATCACACAGACACACAGACACGGGATAACCACACAGACACACACACATGGGGATAACCACAGAGACACACAGACACGGGATAATCACACAGACACACAGACACGGGATAACCACACAGACACACACACATGGGGATAACCACAGAGACACACAGACACGGGATAATCACACAGACACACAGACACGGGATAATCACACAGACACACAGACACGGACACAATCACACAGACACACGGACACGGGGTATACACATTTACAACCACACAGACACGGGGTATACACATTTACAACCATACAAGCAACTATGAGTAGTGTGGCGAGCACCAGACACGGACACCTTTGTATCCCCTGATGATGACGCGTACACACTCGCGCAACACAACCACGTGCCCTCGGATAATTGCATTACAAAAAAAACAAAGATCCCCCGTGTAGCCTTAACAGACTGTTGGGGCAAGTGCTGTTAGGCAGCACCTATGAAGGTCGGCACGGCACACGAGGGGGTGGGTGGCCAGCACCACGCCCGGCCGCCTTTGTCTCCCCAGTGTCGATGTTTACTACACACCGCACCAGGTACTCATTTGAGGCTGAGCCGACCTAGGGGAGGAGGCCCAGGACCGGTTCAGATAATCTCCACCGGTGCCGGCCCTGAGTGGGAATCCAACTCGGGAAGCCGGGTTCACAACGCAGCGCGCTAACCGCTGCACCACCGTTCCCCACAACCGCACACACCACACACCACACACCACATATACACACACACCACACACGAACACTCCACACACAGCACACACACACCACATACACCACATGTGCACACACCACACGCACACACACCACACGCACCACACACACACACCACACGCACCACACACACACACCACACACACACCACACACCACACGCACACACACACCACACGTGCACACACCACACACACCACACACACCACATCCTCGGACGTACCGGTTGACCCTGCGCAGTTCATTTGAACACGCTGCAGCCGACAATGCCACGATGCATTGTGGCGGGTGTGTTGGATGTGTGTGTGTGTTTGGTGGGGTAAGTGTCAGTGGTGTGCCCCCTCGGGAGGCTGGAAGAGAGAGAGAGAGCGGTGGTGTGAGCGGTCTAATCGCAGTGCGTTACGAACCAGGCAACCCTCACCACCCCCCTCCCCCGCTCGGCAACATCGTCGGCGAATATCCGAATCAGGTCCTGGGCGTCGGCCCCCTGGGTGGGCTCGGCCTTAAATCAGTAGTACCGTGTCTGGCTTGTGTGAGTTGTGTGTGTGTGTGTGTGAGTCTTTGTCATCATCGGCACCGGGGAAATAACCTCTCTCCTCCCCTCTTCCGTGCGAGCAGTGTTGACCGTAGTAGGGTCTAGTAAATATAACTCTGTAGGCTGTCCGGGTGATTGTGACTGCAGGTATTGTGGTCTATGCAAACATGACTCCTTGTAAAAAAAAGGTGTCAGTTTTGTTGCCAGATAGAAGGGTAAAAAAAACAATTATCATATTTTTTTACTGGCAAATGAGGTTCTAATGGTGTCCGGGGTGAGTTTTATCTTTAATGTGCAAATGTATTAAGGTGGAGTAGTGGGTTGTTTGATGGTGTGTGTGTGCGGTTGTGATGTGTGTGCGTAGTAGAGTGGGTTACAGCTGGTCCATCTGCCAGTCATCTCAGTCGGCCAACCCATGGCACCACCTGGGTCTGTCCCGTGACCCTCCTGTCGACCACTTCACGTGGCCTCAAAGTGTGTACCTAGCCTGGCACACACCCAAAGCTCTCTAGGTGTGTTCTAGAGAGCTTTGGGTGTCTGCAAGAGACGTGTGTGTCTTGGTGTATGCATGTGTGATAGGTGCGTGCGTGTGTGTGTGTGTGCTAGAGGTGTGTCTTGGTGTGATCACGTGTGGTATAAAGGTGTGCGTTGGCGTATGCATGCAGTGTACTTGCTGATGTGCGTGTGTGTATGTGTTTCTTTATTTGTGCTGAAGTGGTGGAAGTGTGTGTGTGTGGTTTTTTTTGGGGAGGGTAAGCGTTTGTGGCTGAAATTGTCGGTGCGGTTAACCGGTTCAACCCGGCTATGATACCGACTACTGTAGCCGAACCGGGGCAATGTTTGTTTGAGAACTGGCCTGTTCTACTCGGCTTAGATAAACTGAGGCTTAATGTCGTGGTTGTAAGTGCCCGGCGCTTTTACTGTGCTTGTAAATAAAACGTGTAAAAAAATGGCCACACAGAGCTCGCTCTGGCCGGTTCCTGGCCAAGGTGTGCCGAAATTATTTGAACAGATATGGCGAGTGACGTGTGCTCCCACCACCCACCCACCCTCCCTCTCCCCAATGGATTGCACCACCACCAGCCACGTCTGTACGTTTGGTCACTTATTGCCGAGCGGTGATGAACCACTTAATGTGCAATTTACTGAGACTGTGCCTGTCCCGTGTTGCGGTGGGTGGAGGGGGGACGACGTTAAAGTCCCGTGACGTTGTTTGCACGTGCTGACCACGTGCCTGGCGACGTGACGGTGAACATTTGGCAAGTTTGGGAGTATTACACCGCACGCACAAAAAATAGACATTTGCTGGAGCCGTTTCGCAAGTGCGCTGCTTCTACGAGTGTGCAAGGGTGGTGGTGGTGTGTTAAAGTGTGGGGTGGTGGTGGTTTGTGCAAGTGTGGTGGTGGTGTGTTCAAGTGTGGGGTGGTGGTGGTGTGTGCAAGTGTGGTGGTGGTGTTGTGTGCAAGTTTGAGCGTGATCGTGGTGGTGTGTGTATGTGTTGGCGTGGTGCTGTGTGCAAGTGTGGTGGTGGTGGTGTGTGCAAGTGTGGTGGTGGTGTGTGCAAGTGTGGGGGTGGTGTGTTCAAGTGTGGGGTGGTGGTGTGTTCAAGTGTGGGGGTGGTGTGTGCAAGTGTGAGCGTGATCGTGGTGGTGTGTGTATGTGTTGGCGTGGTGGTGTTGTGTGCAAGTGAGGTGGTGTGTTCAAGTGTGGGGTGCTGGTGTGTGCAAGTGTGGTGGTGGTGTGTGCAAGTGTGAGCGTGATCGTGGTGGTGTGTGTATGTGTTGGTGTGGTGGTGGTGGGTGCAAGTGTGGTGGTGGTGGTGTGTTCAAGTGTGCCATGCGCTTGCAACGTTCTACCCGTGGGAAGTCGAGTCAAGGGTGTAGTATATTTACGGGGCGAAGGAAAGAGATATGAGAGAAATAATGGGAAATCGGTGGAAAAGGATGGGAACGAAACGGAGAGACAGGAGGGGCGGTGAGGAGGAAGTGGTGACTAAGAAAAGGGCCTTAACTCCTGCTGCTGCTACACAGAGTGGGGCTTGTTTGCCACGGTGGTGGTTATGGTGGGAATTGAGGATGGGTGCAGGGTGGAGGTGGCAACACAGTTGTTGCGTCATTTATTGAATGCTCCCGTTGATTTTTAGAAATTGGTGCACTACTCACCTCGCGACCCAAGTTTAATTCCTGCCCACGGTCAACACCATTGGAGATTATTTGAACCGGTCTTGGGCCTCCCCTAGGTCGACTCGG